GCTCTCGCTGCAGGAGCTGCTGCACCGGCAGCAGCTGCTGCGGCAGCAGCAGCGGCTTGCCATGCTGCAGCAAGCGCTGCAGCAGCAGCAGCAACAACAGCAACGCCAGCCAAAACAAGAGCGCCCACCAGAGCTACCTGCTACCAGCACTAACTCTCCTCAGGAGGCCGCGCCTCCCACAAGCCCTAAACCCTAAACCCTAAACCCTAAACCCTCGTTTTGCCAGTCACTGCCACCAAGACAGCATGCCGAGGCCGTCTGCGTTTGCTTCCCCCTGCGCCACATAGGAACGCTCAGCAGCAGCAGCAGCTGCTACAGCAGCTGCAGCAGCAGCTGTAGCAAACTAGAGCACTCGGCCTGAGGGTTTAGAATTAGGGTTTAGGGTTTGGGGCTCACAATGATGACCATGGGAGGCACGTAGGTTTCTTCGGTCGCCACAAGAGTGAATTTCTTTTGAGCTGAAACACCCAAACCCTAAACCCTAAACCCTAAACCACCACTGTCTGCAGCTGCTCGCCTTTCCTGTAAGACCTAGGGTTTAGGGTTTAGTCCGCGGCGGTCAGCTCCTAGGGTTTAAGCCCTCAGCCAGCGGCCGTCAGCTGCGCAGCTTAGGGCCTAGGGTCTAGGGTGTAGCGTCTAGGGTTTACGGTCTAGGGTTTAGGGTTTAGGGTTTAGGGTTTGGGACCTTCTTCTCTGGCGAAAACCACATCTGCTACTCGAAAGCGAATGGGGGCCCCCAACTCATAAGTGAGTTTGTGGCCTTCGAAGCACCAGGACCAAACAGCAGCAGCTTGCGTTTTGCCTTCTGCTGCTGCTGCTGCTGCTGCTGCTGCAGTTCCTGCTGCTGCTGCTGCTGCTGCTGGCTCTTCGCAGGCCTTCGGCTCCCTCAGGTTCGAGGCCGGGATCTTCACGTCCTTAAAAAACTCCATGTCCACTGCAGAAACCGAGGGTTTAGGGTTTGCGAGGGTTTAGGGTTTGCGAGGGTTTAGGGTTTGCGACGATATAGGGCTTGCGAGGGTTTAGGGCTTGCTAGGGTTTTGGCTTTGCGAAGGTTTAGGGCTTCAGAGGGGTTTCGGTGCCGATGAAAAGTAGGGGTTAGGGTTTAGGGTTTCCTGTCTAGGGTTTAGGGTTTAGTGTCTAGGGTTTAGGGTTTGGCGTCTGGGGTTTAGGGTTTACCTGCTATTCCGGAAGGAGAAGACTCGCAGACAATTCCCTGAAGAACTTCCCCTATAAAGGGCCTGAAGATAACTGCCTTGAAGCAAACCTGAGACGCAAACCCTAAACCCTAAACCCTAAACCCTAAAGGCGTGCGCTGCAGCCCACCTCACTCATTAGAATCCACAAAAAGTGTTTAGGGTTTGCGAGCAACAAGAGGGCGCCCCCGGGCATTAACAACAACAGTTTAGGGTTTTCTGAGGGTTTAGGGTTTAGGGTTTAGGGTTTACATTGTAGCGAGCTTTCCCGCTTGACAAGAGAATGGGGGCCCCAGTGATTTCCGTTATGTCATAAAGACATACAAAAAGGCCCAGGTCCCTCAACACCTGCGCAAACCCTAAACCCTAAACCCTAAACCCTGGAGCCAAACCCTCAAGCGTAGGCTGCAGCCCTGAAATCGCCAAACCCTTGCTGCCATTCGCAGTGACCCACGAGCACAATCCCCAAACCCTAAACCCCAAACCCTAAACCCTAAACTTCAAACCCTAAACCCTAAACCCCAAACCCTAAACCCTACCTTGTTTGTGTACTTGAGGGCTATGGCCTCCCGCAGCACTGGCTCCAGGGGCCTCCCCAGAAGGGAAGGCTCCACACTGAGGATATCTTGCAGGAGTGAGATGATAAACATCCTAAGCCCTAAACCCTAAACCCTAAACCCTAAACCCCCGTCGCCGGGGCAGCGCTGCAGAAGCCTCCTCGCAGCTTCAGCGCAGCCGCGCCATCCTTCAGGCCTGGGCTCGACGGCTACGCCCCAAACGCTAAACCCTAAACCCTAAACCCTAAGCTAAACCCTAAACCCTAAACCCTCCGTCCCGGCAGCCGAAGCTAGCAGTGGAGAGCTGGCTGTTTGCTTTGAGCCGCGCTGGCCGCTTGAGCTCGTCGCTGAAGGGTTTAGGGTTTAGGGTTTAGGGTCTACAGCCAAACGAAAAAGTAAAAAAAGGAAAACAAAAATCCTCATTTAACAGCAGCAAACAACAAGTAGTTTGGGGGCCCGCGGGGGCCCCCAGGGCTGTGGGGACGAGGGGCCCCGAGCACTAGGGTTTGGTCTAGGGTTTAGGGTTTAGGGTTTAGGGTTCTAGGTTGAGGCCAAGCTCCCTTTGAATTGGCACAAATTAGAGTTTTAAAGGAAACCCTAAACCCTAGTTGTTGAGGTGTACATACACCCGGAAAGGCAGTGAGTTGCTGCTGCTGCAAGGGGCCCTCAGGAGGGCGGAGTTGACCTTCCCTTGTCTCCCGGGTTCTAAACCCTAAACCCTAAACCCTAAACCCTAAACCCTAGCTCTCA